GAACATCTGGCACAGCTGCTGTAAGGGGCGGTGTGTGTTTATTTAACTCTCTAAAATCCCACCGTCATTCTCCACAACCTGTCACTCTTTCTGCTCTGAGAAGATTCTCTGTTCCAGCGTGTGGGACTTTGTGGACAAACACACCATGACCAATATGAGCTGGTGAATGCAGTTTATTATTCACAGTAGTACTACTTTTATACATACATATCTTAAGAGTCTACTTACTATTGCCTAACTACTATTACTAGTCTACCTCACACACTATATAATTGGTTATTATCATATCAATCAAAAATATGCTTAATCAGTATTCTCCAGCCCTAACTAGCTTCAACTTCTTCATTCCGCTCGTGGGAGTTGTTGACTTTGCAGTCTTCTTTCTCATTTTGACCACGGCTGCGTCCTTGACCGACTTAGCTTGGGGCCTACTCAGGCCTCGCCGGCAAAGGCTGGATTGCTCACATGTCCATTAGCAGTCCGAAATTGTCCCACGGCAGTGTCCATGTGTCATCAGTAGGCAGCAGTAGGGCAAAAAGGAAAGCAAGTCCACAGCTCTGAGGTGGAGATTGTCCTGCTGGGTGTGCATTGCCATGAGCCTGAAACGTGGCACCTTGCCAGCAGCACGCCTGGCTCTCATGCTGTGCTGCTGGGAAGGTTGGCCACTGCCTGCTGAAGGCTCGGGTACGTGCCTGTGCTGCCTTGCTGCACTGCAAAGACCAGCTCGATGTAGGTCTGCATCTCGCAGGGGGTGGTCAGCTGGAACCTGCAGGACTGGCGGGAAGGCAGCACCGTCAGCTGCCACCAGTATGACTGAGGCAAATGCCACCAGGCTTCTCGTACCAACATTTGCACCCAGTAGGCAATTTTCTCCATGTCCAAGTAGGAGCCTGTGCAGAGGATGCTGAGGGCGTTCCAGCTCTGTTCGCTCAGCAGTTCATTGCCAGCAGGGTGGAGAAAGCACAGCGTGTTCCCCAGTAGCTGCTGCCTCGAGCACGTGCACTCCTGCAGCACACGGATGCCAGAGCACCTTGCTGGCAGCTGCCTTGTGGTGTCCAGGCTGAAAGAGCACCCAGGGGGTGGCTCCAGAATCACGAGCAGCTGGTAGTAGGTGCAGTTATTCTGGACACTCCAGGATTCAGAGCTGTTGTCCGTGCCAGGGGCTGGGTGAATCCCGGGCATGAAGGTATTCCTGCTAAGCACATGGCAGACACCAAGGAGGTCCCTCACCAGGTCGCTCAGCACCTTGCACATGCTCAACTCATCCTGCATAAGAATCACAGGCCCACAGAATATATGAGGTCAGAAGAGATCTCAAAAGGCCAGCTAGTCCAACCCCCCTGCAGTGAGCGGGGGAATTGC